TTCCTCTTAGTTAGTTGAGATAACGGAAAAACATCGTAAAAACGCTTCGCTTTGTCGCGCAGCAGCTGAAATGAATTCAAGGGTCAATATCGGAAACTGAACAACGAATGGATCAAAGTGGTTCTCGTGTCGCGTTTAGAACCATTAGTTATTTCGCAATTTAAAATCGAATTACCAGCGTGTCCCGTCCTACTTATCAAAACTCACAATTAGTACTTAGCGCATGTGCGGCACAGTGGTTGGAGGCGCCACTGCGATAGAGACGTGGAATCGATCTCCGACGCCTACGGCTCACCGAACCTTCCATCCCTCCTGGGTCGGTAAATTGGTGCCAGACTTGTCTAGGAGGATAGCGGCACTGGCTCGATACATCGGTAGGCCACCGCGAGTCATTGTAAAGGCCAGATATGCATTAAATCACTTCCAACGATACTTAATGAAGTCAAATGCATGGCGCATCCCTCAGGGATTGATCAACGCCGAAAGCTTTATCCTTTATCCTTTGTCCTGATGATCTGATGTCTACCAAACCCTCAACCTTCAAAATTAGACGATTACCAGTTGTGTAGATGGGCCCACAGAGAGAATAGCAAAGTTTATAAACCTAATTCACGTAGTTGTTGAAGCACATACCAGCCCATTTCACGATTACCCAAATGTTTCTGGGTCGTCTGCGTCACGTGCCTCCTAACAGCTCGTGGATGATGGAGTTCTTCGACGTTATCGCCCTAAAGTATCTAATGACTCTCGCAATGCGAGCTATTCTCGAACTCCCTATAGAACTCGAAGGAGCAATAAACATGTATGGCTTCTCGATTCAGCAGCTCATGCTCCTCCTTAAGGTGTGCCCAAACTGTTCGACCTTCAGATGGTCGAGGAAGTAATACGCCCAAATTAGAGGGTTGGCAATGGTACGGCGACAGGCACTAAGCCTTTTCATTGCGTTAATATATAAGTTGGAAGAACTAGTAATCGATTTTGTGATCTGCCCCATGCAAGAGAAGATGGGCCACTGTCTTGAGTTCTTGAATGAACTGTCAAAGTGCATTAAATTTGCACAATGGAAGCCAAAGGAAACTGCCTTCCATTTCTGAACCTTCAAATTAACCTTTCCAAAAACTGCTACATCAGGAAATGGCACCGAAAGCCAAGTAGTGAAAACATACTGGTTCATCATCTCTCGTCTCACCACACACGGACCAAATTAGCGCTTGTAAGAAATATGTTCTGAGCAGCCACTAGTGTATCCATTCTATTAACCTCGGCATTGGTCAAATAATTCTTTGCATCCTTGTTGAGCAAACGTGAGGTGTTATTTTATTCCTTATTCAGGAACAAGCTGACGTTTCGGCGGATTTCGGCTGAGCCACTAGTTTGTGCACAGGAAGAGAGCAGAAGGAGTAATCCTTGAGATTTGGGCGGCAAATAATCGTCTCGAAAAATGAAACTGTAGCTTCTCGAGGTAGGTGTATAAGAAAGTCCACGAAACCAAGCGATAATTCTAGCGAGAATAAGGTCCCGTTTATTCTGCCTTTCATTTCCTACGGAACAAGTGCAGCTATAAAACGCTGCTTAAGAAGGGCTGATCGAGAGAATTCGGTACCAGAGATAAATATCACCGGACACTCTAAGACGTCAGTTAATCCGTAACTTCCTATAAGACCGCTTATGCACAACTCTACAATACAGCTTAACGAAAGAGACGGTGATAGCATGAGTGCGAGCACGGTTTCCCACGTCTTGTAAAGTGCGCTGGGTAAAATACATTGGCGAAACTGGTGCACACTTCGCGTCGCTATAAGAGAACATCTAGTCGGTAAATTTAAAGTTCAACCGAATACTTCACTAGGCACGCATATGGCATAGAGACATAAAGTAGATGATTTTGAAGGAAACTGCACTATCTTCACATGGGAAATCAAAACATCGGTGCGTGAAACTCTTGAAACGTTTTGGACAAAATCATATAATCGAAGAATGGGCCCCAAAGAGCAGTGACTTATGACGGTGCGTGATCTCGCGCCATATAACAGGCTTTTTGACGTGACCCAGCACATTCTTCGCCCATGTAAGACTGTGTGGCCGATCTTCTACACCAATTAACTGGAAGGCTTGTAAAGATCGAAACGCTGAGTTTTTAAAAGAAGCTGTTTATTACACGAATGAAAATTTTCCTATTAAGTTTTGTCACTTGAGGATATGAGAGTGTTTGGCTGAGGCGATTGCATGTCAAACTGACCTTTGCAGGCTCTGAAGAAGGCTAAAGCGCTGATGCATGAATGAATAGATGCTGTAACAACAAACATGCTTTCGCTCATGAAGAAAACAGTGAATTATTGATCAACGCCAATGTTAAAAGAGGATCGATCTTGAGATTTGGTGCAAACAAGGGTTATTGTCGTGAAATTGCAGTTGTCGTAGCAAACTTTGAAAGAGAGAATTTTTTGAATAATCGGTATTCTGATGGCTCAAATGCTCGAAGAAAAGCTTAGAGGTTCGGAATTTCCGCTAGGCTAGATATTCCAACACCACAATAACCGACATCTTTGAAACGCAGTTACATGTCGGGACTCCTAGGACCTACTTTCATTCAAGAAATATACAGAATAGTTTTTCTAATATGACCCGTTTTACGTCTACTGTGCGGTTCCCAGCACTTCTCATATTCGATTCGTTTCCTTCCATCCATTATCCACGAAGATCTAATTTTATGTGTGGCTTTGGCTGTTGTTTGAGGATTTTCACTTCATCTTAAATGTCGTAGAATGCTGGTCGAGTCAATTCTTCCTAGAGTCCTGAAATAGCTGCGCTGGAGTGTTCCCATTTGGATTGCAGGAAGCGATTTTTTTTCGGACAAGTCCGGTATCGATTTCCAGACCCCAGAGGGATGAGAGGCTTGGTTGGCCCGCAGCGGAATCGAGCTAGAACCGTGCTCGTGATCACCGACATCACTACCACTGTGCTATCTGCTCCCTAGCAGATCAGTAGATAATGTTAAAATGAATAGAGGTTCTTCGTGTCTAAATCATCATTTCACCGAAGCTCCTTGTTCCATTCTCCAGCTCTCTCGTCGAAATTGTCGACCAGATGGTCTATCGAATTTCTTTAGGTTTCCTATAAATTTCAGCAACAACATGCATTCCTCTTCTAAAACTTGTGAATGAACGTAGAATATGCCAAGTAATTTATATCTCTTAAGAAACAATCGAAAACGAAGATGGGAACGCTCTTCACTTTAGAAATCACTTTTGCATGCACAGGTGAATGATTCACATTATAGCGCCAATAGTTCCGTTAGTCGTTGATGAGCTCAACTAAATGCCAGTAAATCTGTCCAGCAAATCTGTTCTTCTCGACGCAGAGCTAAACCTGCACCTTCCAAAGAGTAAGTTTTTCTGAAGCTGAACTTTTAGATTGAAACATTAGACTTTTTACCAGTTAAGGAGATAGTGCCGATGAATCCTGTGCTATCCATCGCAGCGTCGTATGCAGAACCATCTCTTCAGCATCCATGATGGGGTCGTAAACCATTGTGTAACGTTACATTTCATTAATAAGAAACGAGCAATAGAGAATCGAAATCCTTTATTCTCAAAAATAGCTGTGAATTTTATTTGTATATATAATTACTTTACACACATATTTCATACCCGTTGTAGATTAGTAGAATAGCTAATAAATAGATCACAGTGAGAAGGCTACTATTTGAGGTCCGAATCGTTTTTGGGAAGGCATCAACGAGACATCCTAAACAGTGTATTTAACAACTATGGTTGCACTGGATTGGCTTTCTAATGAAGTGAGAAGATGATGATGATGATGATCAAAAAGTTCATCCTGTGCTCTGTGAGCACTAATACGAACCGTTGTCGTGCAATATATGCCTGGGTTTATCAACGACCATGAAGACTTCGTCCCTTTGAGCACTGCAAAAATTTCAGCTTAAACATTCAAAGCAAATTTTTGTGAATTCATTAATACGTGAAATGGCTGAACAAGAACTGGCCTATTTTGTATCCTTAAACATTTCAACGGCTGGTCATCATAAAGAAATCACACGGGTAAAAGCACATTTTCCATAACATTTGATCTCCCGGAAATGGTAATCGTGGATTGGAAACTGGTCTGAGGTCCAAGTTTTACAAATATCTCAGCATTATAGTGACATTATGAAACTGTAACAAAATGACTTGCGAGAACCTATCGACGCATACACTCAATATGATTGAATCTCGCAGAAAACTATAACACTGATTTACCAACCACCGGTTGACAAAGGTTTGGATTGCTCTGAATGAGAGATCAAAGCAATGGCGACTTTTTAATGCAGCACATCCATCCACTGCACTATGCCCCGGGGGTAATAATGGCACCAATAATGCCATGATGCTAACGATGATGTAAGTATGGTGATAGTAACCACAATGATGCTGAGATATTTGCGAAACTCCGGAACCGCAGGTGTCTGGGGTGGGAAACGAACGTGCTACTACCCTTTCCGGGGGCCAACGCGTTCACTACCACACCATGCTCGTCCTTTGTTTCACCTGTTTCTCAGCTAGTTCTATCGATCAGTGCCATCAGCAAGCACCCGTCAACGGGATTGATTATGATGATAGTAATAGTAGCATTATGCTGATAATAATTACAACCAGAACGACAATAAGTCTATTGATATCTATCGATTGACTTAACTAGCTGAGAGACAGGCAAGACGAAGAGGCGCATGGTGTGGTGGTGAACGTGTTAGCCCCCGGAAAGGGTAATAGCGCGTTCGTTCCCCACCGCCCGCACACATCTGCGGTCCGGAGTTTTGCAAATATCTCAGCATCATTGTGGTTATATCACACATAATACCCTGCCGTGAAAAATTGTAATAGGCTGTAAATAAGGAAGTTAACATTGTGATAATAATAGCGTTGATAACAACAGTAAAATCAAACATGGCGAATTAGTTGACCTGCAAGCAAGTCAAATAAAACTGACATTAAACTTACATTTCAAATGCTTAGTGGCTCTAGATCTCGTGGATGACCATATTTACACATGTATATACAGTTGAGACTCCATCGAAATGCCTCAATGCAGAACACACCGAGCACGGAAAATACGAGAATCATGATGAGAAGTCGGCTGCAAGCACACCATACATTAACCGTACAGCCTATTCATCGTCACAATTAAAAGTGCTACGGTGATGAAGTCAAACACGAAGGGTGTGAACGCACAATAGACTGGTGAAGAACATATTTTCTTGACAACAATCATATCCGCAACAATAGTCTTCTTCGGCACAACCGTATACGATTTCAGTTGGACGAGAATCGTTCGCATAGTACACCTAAAATACGCAAAGGTCGAAGATGTGATCTTGATAAAGGAACCGATGGTGAACAACGAACTACAACTTACACGACCAAATTGCGGATCAAGCGGATCGATCTTGTTAACACATTGCAGCGGAAGTTTTTCGCTTGGCGTGTGTAGATCGGCATTCCAATAATACTCTCGTGAGTCAAACCTGAAACCCAAGTCACTGACGTTTTCCGATTCACTTCATTTTTAAGAAATTCTTCGTTTTAGCACCGTCTACTGTCTGTGTCACTGCTAATTATCAAGTCAATCAAGCGGCCGCAAAGCGGTTTTGGTCTCCTTTGTGCACCCAGAGCAGCCTAGTGGGCTTCACTCGTGTAAATGATACCAACACCGTCACACTTTTCATGAGAGACTTTTTGTTTCTACCCTTTTGTCGAAAGTCTAACAAGTATGACATCACTGGTTCTTTTAAAACATACAATCTCTTTTGTTTGGAAGTTTTAATGGAGAATCTGAAGCCACCCCTTAGTTGGAATACGGTGACGAACCTCCTGTCGCTGTTCATCATCAGTGAATAACTCCAGCCTGCCAGTAAATCATAATAGTTCTTATTTTTCGCCCATAATAACGGAGCACATTTCTGATAGCATTTTTCGGAGATGAATAAAATATTAGGCACCGGTTACATAATCGGCTCTTAGGAAGACGAAGACGTCGAAATGTTAGCCGAAAATAAAGAATATTTGTCAACCTCGTGTAAGCCTATCCAAGAAAAAATACGTGTAAAATATTAGACTTCAATAATACACAAAAGGCCGTGGACGTGATAATGAACTGGAAAATATTGTTATAACCAAACCGATATCGTGGGTTTAACAAAGGGTGCGTGGCGCAGTGGTCAAAGGCGTTCTGAATTACATATGGAATCGATATCCGCACCCCACACTCACCAAGTCCTCCATTTTTCCGGGGTCGGAAAATTGGCACCAAACTTGTCTGAAAAGATAGCAGAACTGGCTCGATAAAACGATAGGTCACCGCGAGTCATTGTAAAAGGCAGATATGCTTTCAATCATTTCCAACGATGCCTATTGAAGTCGAATGCATGACCCATTCCTCAGAGAAATATCAACGCTGAGAGTTTTATCCTTTATCCTTCTTACGCCTAAGAAAAAGACCAGCGATATGACTTTCTATCGTAAAATGGAACAATTGAAAATGCCCACTTTTAACGAATTCAGTTCATTGGAGTTCAAAGATAAAACCATTTAAGTTGCTAATTGAAAAGTAGGACAGCGGAAAATTGTAGCATTATTTCTGGGTATTTTGAGTGAATTCGATTAACCATGGAAATGGAACAAAACTTTTTTCCTATGTACGAAATTCGAGAGACCAAATTCGGCAGAAAAGCAGATTTTCAGCGATTGCAAAACCTAATCGTTGGTTAACAAGCGATACAGGTCTCGGCATTGATTATTCCTTCAGGGATGTGCGATGCATCCATTTCCATTCGTAGCAAAATCGAGGTGATTGACCTTTACAACGACCTGCTATGGGCTACCGGCATATCAGCTCAGTGTTAATAGCCTCCCAAACAAGAACGGGACCAATTCACTGACTTCCGTGGGATAGAAGTCTTGGCTGAAATCGCATCTGCGGGCATTTGCGTGTTTCTGGGCGCTTCTAACCACTGAGCCACATGCCACTCTATGCCAGTAAATCATCGATTTTTTGTTGATATTTAGATTTATTGATATATCGTTTTTAGTTTCCTAATGGTTTTCGACATGCCACTGATATGCCGTCATGAATGCTATGCTTTCTGGTAGAATTATAACTGCGAGGAAAAACGTACTACGATAATGTTGAGCTTTCTGCCTAGTTTCTACAATAATATCGCTCACAAACCGATCGAAACTAGTCATACAAACATAAATAGAATTTGTTTTGTAAAAATATTGTTGTTTCCACTCATTTTATATTTTGGATCTCTTCACACTTTGCCTTGAAGTGCTTTATTTGTCGAAAAATTCACGGCGTCGAAAATGCACTAGGTATCGAACCCTTTGCCTAGTTTTTCCTGCACTTTGAAATGAAACACGAAAAAAGAGTGATTTTTGCATTAATTAGTACTATATTTGTCAGAATATACTTTTGATTATATATACTGAGCTGTGTAGCGCAGTGGTTAGTGATATCGTAGAACAAGAAGCGAAGACGCTAGTTCAATCCCCACCCCAACGCTCTCCTTCAATCCTCGTGGGAACAGCTAGGCCCGCCTGTCTCCAAGATTGAAAGGAGAATTGGCTCGACCAGCATTCTACGACATTCATGAAGAATGACGAAATTCTCAAGCAGCAGCTAAAACAGCATACGAAGTATTCGAAGGTCATTGTAGATGTTAGGTGCGAGGAAGCTAATCGAATGCAAGAAGTGCTAGGATCCGCAAAGTAGATGTAATGACGGGTTATGCAAAAAATTTTGAAGTTATTCATAGCTCTTGATTTTCATTGAACAGTAGAGACAAGAAGTAATGAGTAAGGGATGTGACACACATTTGTGTGCGCACTGGAGAAGAGGAAAGGAAGGAATCGCTAAACCTGGCCGGAAAATAGCCATTTCCAATGGCTACGAAGCAGAAGCCAGTTGGATCAGATGAGAAGGCAGAATTGTACCCCAAAATAAGGTTTCGAACGTAAATAAGATCCTTTTTAAGCTGCTCTTCATATCGAACGAAATAAGTTACGCCATTAAGAGGCACCTAAAGAAAAGTGGTCTTGAAAATGTATGTGGTGGTTATTGCCCTCTCACCCAATATCCTACGCTGCCAATTAGTCCGCAATCGTCTTTATGATCGTTTGTGCACCTCAGAATACTGTATGATCCTTCCTGGATGAATGGAAGAGATGGGGATTGAATGAGTTCAGGTACAACATACATGTTCTCATGTAGGCCATGCGGTGATGAATACATAAGGGAAACGAGTAAACCGCTTTGTGCCTACATAAAAGAACACCTACATGGGAAAATCAAAATTCGTCAAAGCATTCCTCTAGGTATACATAGGGCACAAAAGCACAACGGCGATGATTTTGAAGTGAATGTGCGGATCCTAGTGCAGGAATCGAAAACATCAACGCGCAAAACTCTTGAAGGCGTTTTGGATAAATTTCAAAAATCCAAAGATGAACCGGAAGGACGAATGCCTCATTGTCACACATGACTTCGTGCTTACTTCAACATGATTTTTTGACCTGTGTGGGTCTCGCGCGCGACTCCACGAAAACAACGCGTGGGCCAGTCCCATTCATAACAGCAGGGTGAGTAGCCTTTTTTATCAATATGGCGTTTATTTGAAGGTTTGGTCTTCATTAATACTACAAATATTTTACTGACTATAAGGCTACTGTTACATAAAATACGTCTAGGCTCTGAGGAAGGCGAAATCGCCGAGGCGTTATCCATCGACCAACGACACCAACAGCAACGACAACGAAGACCCATACGAATCTCGCATCAACTCAAAAAGATTAGCTTATAAGATCATTTAAATAAATATATCAAGTTACTGTTTTTATCCTGTCAGATAAGTCTGGTATCAGTTTAGCGAGTCCTGAAGGATGACAATGCTTCACTTATCAATGGAGATCGAAATAACCACCATACGTTCGCTGCACCTCACATCGAACTATCCCATTAAACGCGCCTTTTGATTTTGCGCAGAGCGTGGATTAAGCACTGGCAAAGCTACTCATATTTGAGTAGTTGGACGATCCTCTTCGCGAACCACGACAAACGGTGTAAAATTTAGCCCAATCTAAATTTTAATAAGCTGGTGATGTACTTGCTGTGCAAGATTTTCTTTCACTGGAGTACCAAGAAAACCATACTAGGCTATTCCAGGTTGTCGGTTCTACTTGTCAGTCAATGATAATGTTGTTACAAAAATGATGGCGAATCCGAACACTGGTTTACATCTTGTTGAACTGCTGCATAAAAATAATGAACTCCTTTTCAGCTTGGTGATATTGGTCGGGATGAACCTCCACTGTACATCAATTGGAGTCTGGAAAACGTTCAATCACGATGCAGCGGTGAATTTTGTAGATTGGTGGCCTTCGTCAAGATCATCCTCCAATATACATTGCAATTTGACTCAAGAAAACTTTCCGTCATGATGTTGTGGTAAACGATTGGGGCGTGGTGAGATACCGTAATATTGTAAGTATTGTGAGAGAACTATGTATTTCTGAACAAATGTAGACATGGAAATAGTGAAACGACGTAAAAAATAACTTCACGAGCGGTTACTGGAAAAAAACCCGAAAACATACACAATGGGTTTTCCAGGATCATTGATGATATGCCTGCCAGCTCTGAATGTCAAATAACCGGCTGCAGCGCCAAAGACCGTCGATCGAAAAAGCGAAGTGCGCTCAATGGATCCTACTTTGGAGAATCTGGAATTTCATGATAACAACGATGTCGACTGAAATCTTGTTCTTCTGGTATAAATTTCATATGCTATTTAAAGGTTGAATTGGGGTTAACAAAACAGATGATAGTGGAACTCACGCTGCTAGGAAAACCATAAAAGAGACTACGTTCATCAGTAGACAGACTAGAAGGGTGACCTTAAGATGAACCCAACAAAGAGTGATGAATGTCGATTCAATTCTAGGTCGAAATAAAGCACGCTTCTTAATAGGAACTCTAAAAAGATTGCTTAGTTGTGCATACGAACAATAGTTCGGTAGCTGTCTCTGACTAACCAAAACGCTCTATCTTTTGTAAATTGCAGCATCAATCAGACATCATAATAAGTTTGGTAACCTAGCAAATATAAAATCCGCTTGTTTTTGAGAGAGTTCTTTAAATGACGAAAAATACCAAAGCAATACTTCCGAGTGAATCGCGGCGACGTTGTTTTGGCATGGGAAAGTCGGCGGCCATGAGATGCGACTGCTCGTTTACCAGTCACTTCAAGAAGCAAAACGGATAGGAAACATATTCGATAAAGGAACATCTGAAATTCTATCAGATAATTCAAACCTACAGTAATCTACTGAGCATGTTATCAATCGACATCTGTTGCGTGGAAATAATCTCGTAAAAAATGACACTGAACGAAAAAACTGCGTCATGGGCCACGTCTAACGCAAACGGCCCGAAGCGAGATTTCGACAATAGACGACGATTTCTTGACCTTTAGAGTATTTGAAGAGTTGTGAACTCTACAGATTTATAGAAGAGATTTTATCTACCGTCTTGAGCATGTAGAAAACTTATATACAACACTGTTTAATTTTAGTCATGTTTAGGATAAAAATTGTTAAATGGTTGGAAAGCCAATTTACAAATTTTTGAAAATGACAATGCAAGACTGCAGGGTTGAACGATATGTTCAAAGAACCCATTCTATAGCGCTGAACCAAATCCCGTTTTTATGATCGGAATGTGAGCCACAACATAAAGAAAAAGAGAAAGAGCTGGATGATTTTCAAAAACCAGGATTTCAGGTTCATAAAATAAGAAAACCTTCACCTCATATGCAATGATCTGCAGTTAGTGGTTTCTTTTACAACTAATGAGTTTTAGGAGCTGAAATATGCTTGTCCAATGTAGGCTGGGATATGTTGGCTTAAAGTAGGAAACGTTCTCGCATGGAATGCATTGTACCCAATGCATTTTGAGCATCACCATCAAAACTTTTTCAATCAATGAAAACCAGCGAAAATACAAGCTCAGTATGGCAAATGACTAAAGTTAGTAACGATTACAGTGCTTACTGCTAACAACTTCTAGTGGGACTCGACTCGAGAGTTTGAGACCCAACAGAAAGGAGCATTTTTTTCTCATAGTGTGTTACACAAAACAATGAATATTCAGAAAAGCTGGAGAAGAGTGCGAAGTAGGCGCATTGTTTAGAGGGTATTTTGCCATTTCTTATTACTATAGGTAAGGCAGGTGATTGATGTGTGGTGAAAGAAAAAAATGCGTCCCGATGAAAACAGGAAGCGGAGAGAAATCTTCGAAATGCTCTATGGAAAAAATGTCTAATGAGAATGATTATGGAAGCATGAAATTGCATTTTAACCTGGAAACTACTAGTTCCAAAATGACGTTTCATACGTCAGTTGGTTCTTTTTTGCGAGTTCTGAGATTTCGAGTCGTTTTTCTGATATTTGGAAAACGGAAAGAGAGATGGAAAGAGATTGTATGAAAGAATGTAGAAAAGTAGCAGTAAACAAAAGCAGAAGCCTATTTTTTCCAGCTTTTTTCAGTCTGACCTAAAATTGAGATGATTTAATAGCAGCTGACCAACCGATGATCAGGTCTACACGTAACTGTATGCTTCTCGGTTGGAATAGGCATAAAAGATAAAAAGGTTAAAGTTTTCGGCGTTGATCAATCTCTGAGGGATGCTCCGTGCATACGGCTTCATTAAGCATCCTTCGGAGGTGATTGAATGCATACCTGTCCTTTACAATGACTCGCGGTGGCCTACGGATGTATCGAGCCTGTGCTGCTATCCTCCCAGACAAGTCTGGTACTAATTTGCCGAATCCGGAGGGATGGAAGGCTTGGTGGGCCATGGGCGTGGGGACCGATTCCACGTGCATGTTGCAGGGCGACTCCGACCACTGCGCGACAAGAGCCACAGGAATACATGTATTATAATAAATATTTTTGAATGAGCCAATGGCTTGTAAGTTGAATAAGGATTTTAATGTGACTTGATGGAACTGCAGATATAGAACAGACATCAAGAGAGTGTGCGAATGATAGGGAGATTACCTCTGTATGCGGACGAGTTTCCCAAGATGGAAACCTCTTCGGTGTAGAAATATAACGTGAACGTTAAAAGTGGTGCAGTTTTGGGCTTCCATCTGTTATACCATGATGATTGATAGCATTGCTCGTTCAATAATGCGTTTTTAAACGACAATACCATAACTATTTGAAAACAAACAAACACAAACACACAGACATAAACACATCACACACACACACACACACACACACACACACACACCCGCACACACACATACACCCGCACAGACACACACACACACACCCGACCAATTTATTTGGATGATGACTGCAACAGCCACCACCTCTTCATCGCTGGACGGCAACTGGCATTTGGGAGATCTTCGTATTTGGGGAACGCAAACCATTTAACAGCCGTGATAGGTGCTTGCTGTTTGTGGTCGTTTTGAAAAGAAAAGCCCATAAATAAGGCTGGTACCTAATTCTCAGCATAGAGGCTGCGTAGATTCAAAAAAGTTCTCTTTGAGCTTGTGAAATTTCCTTTCTTCCTTTTTGAGAATAACACCGACATTTTTTAAGTGTCTAGAAAGTTAAGTAAAGACTAGAAGGTCTAATTTGATAAAAACTATTGAAAGAGATAAATCAAGTCACAGTAATCGGGCAACCGAGAGCTCGTACGCATTCTTAGATTCAATATAGAAGAGAGGAAACGCAATCGCTATTTCGACTATAAAAGCTTTATAATAACAGACTTATAGATGACGAATTACTGCTTTGTTTAGCCGTGAATAACACGAGAAAGGCGAAGTGAAGGACTAACATGGTGTGGTGGAGAACGCATCAGCCCCGGAAAGGGTAGTGGCGTGTTCGGTCCCCACCACAGACACCAGCGGTCCGGAGTTTTGCATATATCTCAGCATCATTATGGCCATACTACTTTGTAGTTTTATAGAAGAGGATGGTGAGAAAAACCTTGAAACCTACAAAAATCTTGCGGGAAATTAATCCACACAGGAGAAACAAAGAGAACTTTTTATACTCGGATTGTAATGGGAACGTAGGGAACCTGCAGACAATGAATGGGTGAAAAAAGCTTTTCTTCAAACACTTCAGAGAAAAGTTATAATTATGGAGCAATTAAATAATGCACTGAGTTACCTGTACTGGTTTTCGACTTTAAACATTAGTGATCATATCGATAAGTTTTCGACGAAACGAAATAGCGACAAAGCGCAGAAAGCAAAATATTCCAAGAGATGATCTGTCAAAGGATGTGATGATGAACGGCGATGGCAGAGCCGAGTCCAGGCCGAACCGATGCGGAAGCTATTGTTCTCATTGTCGTTAATCATCAAATCGTAGAACTCCATACTCCGTAATAATTTGTTTATTCCTTACTCTGAGAATAAAGAGAAAAAATGCAAAGAGATGAATAACGATAATGAAGTGAAGGTTGAAAAATATTGTGTGAAACATTAGAAACAAAATTCTTCACGAAGAATTTCAGAGAAGAGTGTGGTCTTCAACGACTCTCCAAAGCCTAAAAAGGCAATGAGCTACACTCATGCAAGCGACAGGGAGAAATGGAGATTTCATCGACTCCGGCTCGAGTCACTCAACAATCAGCAGGAGGACAGGTGACACAGGTGATTTCCAGAAAATATCTCTGCATTGTTGTAATGATCTTTAATGATCTAAAGGTCGATATAGTAGTTGGTATAAGATTATTCACTATAAACGTTTATAGAGTCTTGAGTAAAGCTGAGTTTAATAGTCACAAATTGGCTATGAAAACGGCAATAGGGCAGTTGTTCTAGGATTTTGGATTTTTTTCGGCTTAAAAATCACACCAGTGGGTGGAAGGCTAAAAGAAATCCCAATGAATCGCGTGGTGCTCCGCTTTCCACCGATCATTCTTCAATTCTCTCGCTTGTTTCTTCACGTTTATTTCCTGCGTTTCTTTGGACAACTGTCTTAGCGAATCCATTTATGTTGAAGAAGGTAATGATGGAGCACCGATACTGCTAATTTGCCTCTTAATTCGCCTTCTCTTATCAGAAATTTCGAAGCGGCCGTTTCTTTCCAGTGTGTCCAATCTACTGAGTCGATTTTACCCGCCAGAGCTGGAATAGTAACGAGATGCTGCTTATTTTGTCATTAAATTAAATGAGTTCTCGAAAAATAGGTCGATTTGCCACTAAACGAATGAAGAGGATAGAAAGTAGCGCTATCAGCTTCTATCTCTCCCACACATTCGATCTCATCCCACTCTTTCAAGTCCAATTCGTCAACGCGTCCGTCTAACAAAGCAAAGTCAACGAGGTTAGGATGAAATGGACAAAATCAGGCCGCTTCATCGGCGAAAAACTGCCATTCATCCGACAGAAGGTGCCATCTCCGACAACGACACTCGCTTTCTAGTCGTCAACGAAAAAACGATGAATGGGTTCTATTAAACGTCTTTGCAGAATAGAAGCTGATGACAATGAGTTCAAAAATGGAGAACAGCGAATGAAGAGGATGAAACGTGAAAAGATGAAGGAAAAGAAAGCCATAAACTAATAGTATTAGACGAGATAGTCCAGAACGTGTGAGCTCGACGGTCTAGAATAATGTTAATATTGAACTGTGTTTACAAATATTCGTGATATATCTTTCTACTTCTGTTCAGCAAACGCGAGGTGCTATTTTATTTCTTTATTTACGCACAAGCTGAC